TTAACAGCATTTAAAAGCCAGCATGAATATAATAATATTAATTAATATAATGAGAATAAACATTTAAATATATAAATATCTATAGATACATATACACTCTCATTCAAAAGTTTGGGATCAGTAAGATTTTTAATGTTTTTTAAAGATGTTTATTCTGCTCATCAAAGATGCATTTATTTGATCCAAAATACAGAAAAAACAGTAATATTGTGAAATATTATTACAATTTAAAATACTGGTTTTCTATTTAAATATATACTGTAAAATATAATTTATTCATATGATGCAAAGCTGAATTTTCATCATCCATTACTCCAGTCTTCAGTGTTACTGCAAACTGCAATAAGATTTCATAATATTACAATTTTTTTACTGTATCTTTGATCAAATAAATGCAACTTTGATGAACATAAGAGACTTCTTAAAAAAAAAAAAACATTAAAAGTCTTTCTGATCCCAAATTTTTGAACGGTAGTGTAGATATATTATAAATATATTATAAATCAATATAATTTTGTTATTTTTAGTTTTTTAATCACAAAGGCATAACATAATACTATTATGTTATTTAAATTAAATAGCATGAAATGCCATTCACACATTAAAAATACAAATAAACAATTAAAAAGGATGATACATGAATAATATATTACTATTATATTAATATAATAACTAAATAAATAAATATAATTTTGCTTTATTTTTTTAAACACAAAGGTATAATACTATAATAATATATTAATATAATTTGAATAAATATGCATTTAAATAAATAAATGTATAATTTTGATGTATTTTTATTTTTTTACATGGAGGCATAATACTATTATAATAATTAAATGTCATTGAAAGAAATGACATTCACACATTCCCAATTTACTGCCATAATGTGATACATTATTCAGCTAAACCAGATAACGAGATATTACATGAGGAAGAAATTTATGGTGGGATTATAATATAATAATAATGTATATAATCACTATTATTGGTGTAACCTTTAACATTTAACTTTGTATGCATCTGTACAACTTTTTAATACATTTTGTATTTAATTTATACAGTACATTTTATAATTTGTACATCATTTATACAGAAACAGAATCACCACGTCACAGATCATTGATCCTTTTAGAGCAAATATTAGCCGTTGACCCATGACCTGTACATGCATCAGCTTGAGACAGCATCATGAACAATATACGAGACAAATATAAACTCCAGAAACGTTCAGCAGGACTCCAGCGGTGCGTTCACACTGAGTGCTCGCAGCAGGGTTATGCTCAGAAATATAGCACAAATATAGACTTCTGAGGTGTTTTTCACCCCAATCAGAGACGCTGACCACTGACCATCCCACAACTTCTGAAACCACAAACTCTGGACGAGTGCGTCCTGATTAAAGTGGGTGGTTTATGGCAAAGCTCTGATCATGTGGGAGACACTTGTGTTGCTGGCTGCACTTTAACTGAACGGCATCACGCCAGTGCGATTAAACGAGGGATCTGTCTATAAAACACAACATATAACCTACAAAACAACTGAAAAGACCATTTCTGTGGGGCAGCGAGAGGGAGTTTTGCTATGAAAACTGATCCTTTGAGTCAAAGATTCTGCAGCATTGTCTTACTAAGAGAATATAGTTACAATAAAAATACTGAATTCAATTTATAATCATTTTTACATTTATTATATATATTATATTATATTATAATTTTACTTTATTTTTTAAAATAAAAAGGCATAATACTATTAGATTAATACAATAATAGTAATAAATAATAATAATAACAATTAATATGCATATATAATTTCTTGTATAAAGACCCATCAGTACTGTGAAAAATGTATAGTATTAGTTCTGTCAAACGATTAATCACATCCAAAATAAAAGTTTTTGTTTACATAATAAATGTGTACTGTGTATATTTAATATGTATATATAAATACACACACATACGTGTATATATTTCAGAAAAATATGTTATGTTTATATATTAAAAATATTTATCTTTAATATCAATTATATAAATATATACATGTAAATACATGTAAATCTTTTAAAAATATTGCATGCATGTGTGTGTATTTGTATATACATAATAAATATACACAGCACACATACATACATTATGCAAACAAAAACTTTTATTTTGGATACGATTAATCGCGATTAATCTTTTGACCGCACTGATATATATATATATTTACCTTGTGAGCAGTCGCATGCACCCTTCAGCGCTTTCTCATCCGGAGTGAAATCTGTCAGACACAATGCAATACTGCAGGATGAGATCGTGCATAGCATATTTCAGATTTAGGGTTATTCCTCTCTGGCTTGAGAAAGCATGACCTGCGCTGATGACGGAGGCTGTCTGCATGTCTCGCAGGAGTCTGTCGATGCTGCTGTCGTCTCCTGAATACAGCTCATAGCGATTGATCCCTAGATGGAACTGCAGCCAGCTGGCCTCGGGGTCAAAGGTCACGGGATGATCGGGTATAGTGATGTTTGAAGCTGCGGCCGCCTCGATGTAGATCTTCTTCAGTCTGTACGGGACAACGAGAGCTGGCACTGGAGATTTGATCTCTCATCATAATTTATTTTTTTCCCCTCTTTAAACATGAGAGTTACTTTCCCACACAAAACTTGGAATGAAATGAGTAGAAATTGCACATTTGGTGAGCTCTCTTTTAAGTCATCAACCTAGATAGGTATTATTAGCTCTTAAAATAATGAGCTCCTCTAGCGAGCACAGGTCTGCACTTGTAGGAAACTTTAAGATCCAAAGCCTCAGCAATCTGCCGACAGAATTCTTTGGCTCCCATAGAAAGATACTTTATGTTTTATTACTGTAGAATCAACAATTAAAAGAACCAAAGACTTAAACTACTTCAGTCTGTGTGCATTGAATTTATTTAATACACGAGTTTCACAATTTGAGTTGAATTACTGAAATAAATGAACTTTTCCACGACATTCTAATGTATTGAGATGCACCTGTATATGCCCTTTACTCAGGAATGAGGTTGTCAATAACAAACTACATTCTTTAATTTCTCCTATTATAAACTAGTCTATCATAGAATAAAATAATTATATGACGTAACCTGAAATTGTTACTATTTCTACCTGATATGGCCCTTACATTTAGTTTTGTTGGTGTAAACTAATGTATTTAGATCAATTAAGTTAGACTTGAACATAATTTAATTCAGTTAAGTTAGATGTCGCCATAAAGACACCGTCACTGAAGTAAACAGTTAATAAAGAGGAGACTGGAGCTATTTCATTTAATATTTTTTTACTTTTTAGAGAGAAAAATTTAACAATAAAACGCACAAGCGTTGAATTTTGCCCTCATGACAAAAGTAAAAAAAAATTTTTTTTTTTATTAATGTCAGGTTAGTTCAAGCTCTCCGATATTTCTTTGTATGTTGATTTTAAGCAGTTTAAAACAATGCTTTTATATTTCCGTTTTTGGTGCATGAATATTCTGTTCATTTGTTAACATAAATCAACTGCATTAGATCAAATGAATTAGCAATAAAAATACTGCTAAAGCATTTATGTTAATTTCAATGTTTATTAATACATTATTGAAATTGTATCATCTAATATTATTTAAAGCACCTGAGCTAACACTGAATAGCTGTATTTTGATTAACTAACCTTAACAAAGATTAATTAAATACTGTAACAAAAGCATTGCTCATTGTTATAGTTAAAGTTAGCCAATGCATCACCTGACTTTTACTAACGGAAGCATAAACTGTTACTTTTTTTTTTTTTAAACAAAACATCTTCTAAAATTCATCAATAAACAACAGGTTGCCATCGTGACAACTTACCCCCTATGGTCAATGTGTGTTAAACACTGGTGGAAATCTTCAACACTTATGTGTCTATACAGAAGCTGATTTAACGACCATCCCCGCGATTCATTCAGTGCATTCCTCCTAATAAACACGTCACATTATTTAACACCAGTGTTGGGGGGAACGTACGGAGTTACGTAATCAGATTACTTTTTTCAAGTAACTAGTAAAGTAACGCATTACTTTTTTAATTTACAAGAAAATATCTGAGTTACTTTTTCAAACAAGTAACGCCAGTTACTTTGTTTTCCCATTTATTGCCTGGCAAGTCTCCTGTCCCCATATTGGGAGAAATCGGAAGTGCAGAGGAGTTGTGTGCACTGTGTGAACATGATGCTACTGTAGTTCTAGACTAAATGTGAATGTGCATTAATTCATCCCACTCACAAAAAACAGATTTAGTATTCATCAAAATGAATTAAAACAGTGAAATGCAAACTCAGAATATGACGCAAACCTGCAATAATTAAATATGTTAAATAACACAAATGTATCTAATCCCATTTTATTAACCAATGTCTTTGCTGCTGACCTTTGATGATCCAGTTCAACCATACTAATAAGCAAAAATGACTTTAGATAAACTAACAATTGTGCTTCATTGTTTTTTTTTATTGCTGAAGAGTGTTTCTTCTCCTGCGTTCTACTGTACAGACGTGAATTTACTTTTCCTTCAGCCTGAGGTTTATTCATTGCAGTTTTTGGTGTGAAAGGGCTTTTACATTTGCTATAAATAGAACTTCTTATATTAAAAAACAATCAAGCCCTGCTCATATTTAAAGAATAATGCGAAAGTAACGCAAAAGTAACGTAACGCATTACTTTCCATAAAAAGTAACTAAGTAACATAATTAGTTACTTTTTTAGGGAGTAACGCAATATTGTAATGCATTACTTTTAAAAGTAACTTTCCCCAACACTGTTTAACACACCTTTCCCAGCGGCTCACTTTCCTCTTGCAGTAGTTCATGAGCTCGTCTTCTTGCAGCAGCCGCTCCTCGGGCCCCAGCTCTGGAAGACGGATGTTGTAGAGCGGGTGTCTAAAGAGCCACTCCAGCTTAGAGCCTTGCTCGGTCATATTCTGGCTCGTGGTCCATGGGACGGTCGCAGCGGCTCCGTTCTCCAGGCTGCTGTCGGTGCACGAGCAGCTTTCTCTGGGCAGCTGATACCAGGTTCTGAGTCTGGGAAGCAGGATGAAATGGATGTCTGCTGCCAAAAGGGTGACCAAAGTGACGGCCACCAGAAGCCGATCTCTTCTCATGTCAACAGATTGAAGGGACCAGTTGGGTCGAGGTGTCCTCCAAGCTGGTCAAGTTGGGAGAATGATCTCCACTTCTTCATCGACAAATTCTGCAGCTTCTGTTCTGACCAGTGTTGTGTTCTCCGCTTATTCCATGTGTTGCATCTTACCCAGAGAAGCACAGTGCTGCTTTGCTCTCTCTTTCTCTCTCTGTGTTGAAGCTTCAGGCAACATTCCAGCTGCACCTTCCCACTTCCCATGTAGACTCAGCCTCCCATCAAAAACACATACACACACACACACGCACGCACGCACGCACTCACACACACACACACACACACACAC